CGTCTTGATTCTGCTCACCCACAGACGAGTGAAAGAAGACACCTGGAAGAGACGCAAAGGCTCTGTAGTTTGCAAAGAAGCTTGAATCCAGCTCTCTGAGATGATGCCAAAAGAAGATCTGGAGGAAAGGAGCAGGCTGTGACCACAGATCGAGCAGGCCAGGCGAGCAGGGAAACAAGCCTTTTTCCGAGGTCCACACGGCTTCATTGAGGGACGCAGGATCGGAGACGGCTAAGAGAGGCAGATGGAGAAGTTCAATAGGGAAGGAAGCTATCTGCTGTTAGTAGGGTGAGAATTTCAACCTATAATTGTTTTTTTTTTTTCTAAGTGTTCTCCTTATGAATAGAAAGTTTTCATCCGGTTCTTTAAATGTTCGGGGCATCAAAGACGTGAAAAGAAAAGCTTTTTTTTTGTTTTGAAAAGGGCAAAAATGTCACTGTTTTCTGTTACAAGAAACGCATTCAGCAGAAGTGGATGAAACGTTCTGGGCTAACCAATGGGACGACAGGATGTTATTCAGTCATGGTTCAAATAAGTCAGGTGGGGTCGCTATCTGCTTTAACACGTTTCCAGGGGAGATTTTAACACACAGAGCAGATGTAGCAGGACAGTGGTTAATAGTGGTTGTAAAAACAGAGGATAGGTTTGTTTTTTATTACAAAAGTCTATGGATACAATAACGAAATGCAAAATAAAAGGGTACTGGTTAAAATAACCAATGTCATAAGGGAACTTAAAATTCTTTATCCCACAAGTAATTTGGTGTTTGGGGGGGACTGGAATATGAGTCCAGATGAATGGAATGATAGATGGCCCTCAAGAACAGGTAGATCAAGACTCAATGAGATTGTCTATAATTTCATGGCAAGAAATAATCTCACTGATATCTGGAGAGAGAAAAATCCTGATAGAAAAGAGTTCACATGATAATATCAAATCTAGAATTGATTACTGGCTTGTTAGTTTTGAAATATCCAGGCTTGTTTCAACTGTAACCATCTCTAAAGCTCCACTTTCAGATCACTGCTGCATAATCCTAATATTTGAACCCTCCACAAGATCACATAATAACAAGAGCTACTGGAAATGTAATGCCAATTTAATGATTAACAAGGATTATTGTTCAAAAGCAAGGGCAATTATTCATAGTATTGAAAGGGATGAAACATTTGAAGATTATGTAATTAAATGGGAATATATTAAATTTAAAATTAGAGAATTTTCAATTTACTGTAGCAAAACATTACAGAGAAAAAGAAAAGAATATGAAAACAACATACTAAGGGATATTTCTCAATATTGTGGTTCATTAGATGATAATGACCAGAATAAGAACAGGTTAATCTAGCTACAAAATCAGCTAGATAAACTTTATTTGGATAAAGCTAAAGGAGCTTTTTATAAGATCCAAAGCAAAATGATTAGAGGAAGGGGAAAAGAATTCAGCATATTTTTGCAAGTTAGAAAAAACTAGACAGGAAAGAAATTCAGTAGCTTGTCTCTTATTCAATGGAACAGAATGCAAAGATCCGAAGAACATTGAAAATAAGATTTTCAACTTTTATTCTACCCTCTACAGCTCTAGTTCTTTTGGGGAGGATTATGATTCAATATTTGATCAAATTAAAGATTTCAGTCCACAAATTGATGAATCCTGGAAAAGTTCACGAGTCTGATTTTAGGATTGAAGAATTAGATCCATCTATTGGCAAAATGTCCCTGAACAAAAGCCCTGGAACAGACGGCCTCACAACCGATTTTTATCAACACCTTTGGGCTGATATTGTTGGGATCTGGAGCTGTACCACCTTCCTCCAGCAGAGTGCACCGTGGGTCCTCCAGAACTGGAACCTTCCAACACACCTGAGGCGCATCTGCTCATCAGAGACCAGCCTATATAACCTGCTTCCAGACCTTGCTTCGACGCCGCAGTGTTGACCTAGTTTGGTTAGCGACCTGAGCCTTGAACCAGAGAATCTTTGCTATCTCATTGATGAGATTTGATTCTAATTCTCCCTTGTTTTGTGCCTTACAGGAAACCAGTCTCTACCTGAGGCTCTGGATGAGCTTAACCTGCCGTGATTGCCCTCGTGAGCCAAACCTGAAGATTCCTCTGTGGATTCCCCTGCAGCTCTTGGCTAAGAGCTGGAAACACAGACTAAGGTCTGCCCTCAAAGTCAGAAGCAAGACGCTGAAGCAACTCTTGGACTCTGCTGAACTAACAGTCTCTGGACCCATCAAGTGCCCTCTCTCTCAAAGAGAAAACCGAACCACTTCAAGGTATTCATCAGAATATTCAAAGACTCATAACTCATCTGTTCGTTTGCTAATCAAACTATCATCTCTGCAGACTCCATTGAACCAGCCCCTGACCAGTTCCCGTGCCAGTACATTATCCTTGTGTTTATTCTTTAATAAACTCTGTTAAACTTTTATCCCGCCTCCGTGTGTGTTCTGCATTTTGGGCTAGCTCTGATACCCATCATGACAGAACACTGCGGCCAAACACAAAGTCCAGCGGGTCACCTCCGTCGGAGGCTTGACGAGCAAGACACCCAGATCCATGGTCATGCGCAAACCCTTCGTGAGTTACATACCATGATTGATTATCAAAACCAAATGCTTCAAACACATGCTAGCTACATTGGCAGTGCTAACGCCGCGTCAGCGGCACGTCCAGTTCCGGATCCACTTCCGCCTCTAAGGTCACCAGCCGTGACGTAATTTCCTGAGTTCCGTCCCAGCCTCCCTGAAAAGTTCTCAGGTAACCAGAAGGATTGTAAGGGATTTTTGTTTCAATGTCGTCTTATTTTTGAGAACTCTCCTGGCAGTTTCCCTACAGATAAGAAAAAGATAACTTTTATTTTTTCCCAACTCACTGGGTGAGCCCTTGAGTGGGCGGAGGCAAGGTTCACCTCAGAGGACAGTTTCAAATGCACTTTTTCTGAGTTTGTTTCTGAATTTTCCCAGGTGTTTAATCAGGATTCTGATCAAACAATTGACTCTCGAGCCCTGCTAAATTTAAAACAGGGAAATTCCACAGTAGCGGAGTTTTCCATCGACTTCCGGGTCAAAGCCGCAGCCTCTGGATGGAACGAATGTGCTCTCAAAAGTGCATATTTTAAAGCACTGAATGACAATATCAAGGATGAACTAGCTACTCTCGACGAACCTGCTAGATTGGAGGATTTAATCCGCCTAACCATTAGGTTGGACAACAGACTTCGTGCTAGAAACAGATCAAGACAAAGAGGTCTAAATTTTTTTGTATCAGCCCCTGCATTGAATAATGCTTCTGTTTTTTCTGGATCCACAGAACCCGTTTCTAAGCCAAGGTCTAAAACCCAGACTCTTTCGGTGCCTGTCCAAGTCTCTCACTCTGATGGTACGGAAGCCGAACCCATGCAGGTTGGACACACATGGCTAACCCCTGAGGAAAGACTACAACGTTTCAGGGGCAAATTGTGTATATACTGTGGTGAGACTGGTCATTTCATTGCTTCATGCCCAGCTAAGTCAAAAGCCGGGGCCCGTCAGAGGAACTGAGGAGTCTGACGGGCCATTTGAAAACTGAAAAGTCTCCTCATTTGATGCTACCGGCCACACTGTTTTTCTCAAACCAGAATCTCACCTTATCTGCTTTCGTTGACTCTGGATGTGAGCGTAATCATATTGACTCTAACCTGGTCCTGCAGTTACAGATTGAGATGGTCCCGTTAGCCAAGCCACTCAGCGTCTCTGCTATTGATGGAAAGAAACTCCACCAAGTGACTCATCAAAAACAACCTCTAGAGCTGTTGATCTCCGGAAATCATTGTGAGACATTAACTTTTTTTGTTTTTCCCTCTACATGTTCTCCCTTGGTGTTTGGATTCGAGTGGCTGGAACGACATAATCCCCATATCAACTGGGCTGAACGCCACATTGAGTCTTGGTCAACTTCCTGCCATGAAACATGTCTCCGTTCTGCAACTCCCGCTGTTCAGTCTCCTAGAGGTAAGGGGGAGATGGACTCTCCTGACCTTTCTTCTGTCTCTTCCAAGTATCATGATCTGGCTCCTGTCTTTAGTAAGGTCAGTGCTATGTCCCTTCCACCTCACAGACCATATGACTGTGCCATTGAGTTACTACCAGGCGCTCCCCTGCCCAGCAGTAGACTTTATAACATCTCCAAGCCAGAACGTGAAACCATGGAGAAATACATTAACGAGTCTCTAGCTGCTGGGATAATTCGTCCATCTTCTTCTCCTCTGGGTGCTGGTTTCTTTTTTGTGGACCTAGCTTATCTCCAGTCAGCCAAACAGGCTAACCCACGTCAATCTAGATGGTCTCTGTTTTTCTCTCGGTTCAACCTCATAATCTCTTACAGACCGGGTTCCAAGAACATCAAACCCGATTCTCTCTCTCGTCTTTACTCCGCTGATCAACCCGAGATGCCTGAACCTGTTCTTCCTGCCTCCTGTACCGTTGGAGTGGTTTCCTGGGAGATCTCTGATCTCATAAACTCTGCCCTAGCTTCTGAACCTTACCCAGGTAACGGTCCTCCTAACAAAACCTATGTCCCTTCCTCAGTCAGATCCCGTTTGATCCAGTGGATGCACACAGCCAAGTTTACCGCTCATCCGGGGGTGAGTCGAACTATAGCCCTGATTTCTAGACGTTTCTGGTGGCCTACCTTGCACAAAGATGTCAAGGAATACGTACTGGCTTGTTCCATCTGTGGCAGAAACAAAACCTCACATCAACCGCCTTCTGGTCTGTTGCATCCCCTTCCTGTTCCTACTCGTCCCTGGTCTCACATCGCCATCGATTTTGTCACTGGTCTCCCAATCTCCAGAGGTATGTCCACTATCTTAACCATCGTCGACCGTTTCTCCAAGTCTTGTCATCTGATTCCTCTCAGGAAACTTCCCACGGCCTTCCAAACTGCACAGCTTCTGGTAGGGCTGAACGATCTATCGTTTTCGACCGAAAACCGCGATCTCAAGCAACGCGATTTTAGGAATGTCAAAGCTGCGGTTTTTCTTGGTGCATATTAGCCCAATAATTCCTCAATAATTCCAATGCATGCTCATGTAGAAAGGCTCTGTGTCGGCTATTACCAATCAGAAAAGGCTCTGTGTCGGCCAGAACCAATCAGAAAGCTGAAAGGCTGCGCGTGACCAGATGACGTTTTCAGTGTAGCTCGTAAGCTCGAGATTCAATTTCAAGATGGCTGAAGCGGGAGCAGACGCGGAGCCGACAAAATTAATACCAAAGAAAAACAGCACGTCGGTCATTTGGCAGTATTTTGGATTTGAGGCCACTGATGAGCACCAGAAACAGGTGATTTGCCAAACATGTCGTGGGAAAGTGGCTACATCGGCTGGCAATACCACCAATTTACATCGTCACTTGAGAGTCCACCACCTTAACTTGTATGAGGATTGTATGGCGAAAAAGAGCCTTGAAACATCAAGTAGCAGTGATACTTCAGCAAAACAGCCAACCATAACTTCATCCTTTGCCAGTTTGACGCCTTATGAAAGAACTAGCCGAAGACACAAGGAGATTACCACTGCCGTAACGAATTACATATCGAAGGATATGGTGTCTGTAAACACAGTAACCAAAGACGCTTTTAAAAGTTTGCTACGCACAATGGACAAGAGGTATGTTCTACCCTCCCGCACCTACTTTAACCGAGTCGCCATCCCACAGCTGTACGGAGAATGCAGGGCCAAAGTTCTAAATGAGCTGGAAAACATGGAGTTTTACGCGTCAACTACGGATCTGTGGTCAAGTAGAACGACCGAGCCATACATGAGTTTGACGGTGCATTTCGTGAATGCAAACTTTGAGTTGAGAAGCCGCTGCCTGCAGACAGCATACTTCCCCACTGACCATACGGGGGAGAACATTGCAACTGGGCTTAAAGAGTGCTTGGCAAACTGGGGCCTAAAAGAAGAGGCCCAGACCTGCATCACAACAGACAACGCCACGAACATGGTCAAAGCGATGGAGCTCAATCAGTGGACCAGACTGCAGTGCTTCGGGCACCGGCTGCATCTTGCAATTGGTAAGTGTGTGTGTGTGTGTGTGTGTGTCCAAATTTACTGTGTAAGAATTAGTGTTATCATAGTCTCTCAAACACAGTTAGGGCGGGGGAGGGGGACAAAGCGACCCTATGTTTGTTTTCACGCTTTTGTTAGCTGACCAACTGTTAGCGCAATGCTACCGTTTCTCCTCCTACCTATAAAAATAAACGCTTTCATGAGTAAACTTTGAAACCTCCCAATAAGCTACTGCTTGCTTCTGTTTAGCTACGGAATGCCAAGGAACAGAGAGATACAAATGCCGTTTCCCCTAAGCAGGAGGTCTTCAACAGGGTTGTGCGCGACCCCTAGGGGGTCTACGGAGGTACTGCATGGGGGTCGCGAAAGTTTTGGTTGATTAGACTTTTTTATATATTCCCCCCTGCAACTTTTTTCATTAATTGAGATGTCTTTAAATACACATTAACATGAATTAACACAGATAAATGGAGGCAGAAGATGTCTTTCAGTCATCAATGCTCACATTCAGTGACACAGCTCTTTCAAGACAATATTTCATTCACAGCACCTGTCCCATCAAGCAGGAATCAGAATCAGAAATACTTTAATAATCCCAGGGAGTAATTATTTTGTTAAATCACTCCATCTGTAATAGAGTGACTATAGGAGCAGTTTTATATAACACAATTTCATACAATATATATAATTATGGGGTCCCTGCTCCATCTCGCCATCAGTTTGGGTTCCTTGGCCAGGAAAATGTTGAAGACCCCTGCCCTAAGCTTATTTTTGACACACTTTAGTAAACAAAAAAATAATAAATAAAAAAAAAAAAAAAGCAAATGACGCCAATGGTATTTTGTAGCAGATATGAGGATGGCTGATGCCACTTTATTACAGATTGAAAGGTTTGTTGTGTTTTAGTGGATTGTCGAATAAACATATTGCTGCAAATTAATCACCAGTTACAAATTAATGTATGGCGAATTACTTAATGTGATAGCACCACCTGATGTCTGCTGTTAAAAAAAGTTATGAAGTAGGCTTATCTGACTGTATGTAATGTTTTTCCCAGAAAATGCAGTCAAAGATGACCAACGCATCAAACGGGCCACAGGACTGTGCAAGCAGCTGGTAGCAGTCTTCAGCCACAGCTGGAAGAAAAAGGCGGCGCTAAAACAGGCACAGGAAGACCTGAATCTTCCTCAGCAGTCAATGGTCACCGAATGTCCGACACGATGGGGCTCCCGGCAGAAAATGATTGAGAGGGTGTTGGGACAGAGCAAGGCACTGTGCCAAGTTCTGTCTGAAGACAGGAAGACGCGGCACCTGGTCCCGACTTGGCAAGACACTGATGTGCTTGAATCTGTAAACAATGCTCTCGGTCCTCTTCAGGAGTTCACAGACGCCCTCTCAGGTGAGGACTATGTGAGCGTATCCTACCTAAAGCCAGTGCTCCACCTGCTGAGAACAGCAACACTTGCTGTAACTGACCAAGACACAGATCTCACAAAGGAGATAAAGTCAAAAGCTCTCCACTACATTGAAGAGAAATACAGTGACCCAGCGACCCAGGAACTCCTGGACATTGCATCTTTCCTCGACCCAAGATTTAAGACCAACTACATTAGTGAGGAGAATGTCCAATTCATGAAAGACAGAGTGAAGATGGAAATGGAGCAGTTGGCACTAAAGGTAAGCTGTCCTTTTTCTTCACTCTTTCAAAATAAAACAAAAAGCTGTGTTTTTTCTATATATGTTTTTGAATTATACTGTAAGACCAAGGCAACATTTCAACATCAATGTCAGTAATCACAACTAATTGCAAAACATTATGCCTCTACTGTGTGTTGCAGGAGCAGAGGGCTTGTGTCAAAACCCATCCCATGCCACTCAGTACAGAAGAAGAACCACCATCCACCTCTACAAAGCGAAAGCGGTCACTGGGCAGCTTTTTCAAGGCGGTCCCTGCTTCCTCTACTATGCAGTTGGAGGATACCATTAAAGCAGAACTGGACAACTACCTCATAACTCCTAGCATTGATGGAGAGCAAGATCCACTGGCCTGGTGGAGAGTGCACAATGTCAACTTCCCCTGGCTTAGCAGGTTGGCTCGTAAGTACCTTTGCATACCAGCAACAAGTGCACCATCAGAGAGACTGTTCAGTGCCAGTGGTAATATTGTCACATGTCAGCGTGCAAGTCTGAAGCCAGCAAGGGTTGACATGTTGGTTTTCCTGGCCAAAAATCTCTAAAGAGATGTAGCGATGAAGGGGAACATTGTTTTTTCATCTTATCCTGAAATCCCTTACTTGCACTTACCGGGACATAACTTTGTTCATCTTTTTTACTTATCTTTTGTTTACTGACTATGTAAAATAATTTAACCATTCTGGCATCATTTGTTGTGAGGAAAATATAGGATAATTTAAACTTTAATACTATTATTGTACTGTTATTTTTTACTACCTTTTATGTTTCAATTCCTCTTGCCACTTTATTTGAAGAAGCACAGGTTTCTAAGTACAGGGGTTGTATTTCTGTAACTGCTCTGTTTATGTTCATAAGCTAGCTCCTTTGAGCCATTTTGCACTTCTTTTAAGGTAAGACTTCATTTTTGCTCAACTTTGTTGTTATATGTTATATTTTTTATGAAGCTTATGTTATTTTACAAAGTGCAATTGTTTTGATGCTGCTGAGCCATTAATATTTTTTTAATGAAAAGTGTAAAAGAAGCAAAAGTTTACTTAAGAGGGCTCCCGTCCCTTTGTAATTTTTATGTAGCCTACGTTATTTTACAAAAGTGCAATTATTTTGATGCTGATGAGCCATTGATGCTTGATATTTTTTGTTAATGAATGTAAAAGAAGCAAAAGTTTACAAAGGAGGGTTCTCATTTTATTTGACTTTTTTGGATAATATAATTTGTTTCTTAGGTGCTTGAATAAACAGTCTTGCATTTGAAATATGTTGCCACCAGTTTTCATTCTTGCATTATCTTAATTGAATTCATTGGTTATATAATTATTAAATATATATTAATTTGTACTGAAATTTGATAAAAAAATAAATCGTGGTTGAAATCGAAACCGCAATCTCTGCCAGAAAAATCGCAATTTCAATTTTTTCTTAAAATCGTTCAGCCCTAGCTTCTGGTGAAGCATGTATTCCGGCTCCATGGAATCCCTCAAGAGATACTCTCCGACCGTGGATCACAGTTCATCTCCCAAGTTTGGAAGGCCTTCTGCTCAGCTCTGAATTGTAAAACGTCACTTACCTCTGGTTACCATCCACAGTCCAACGGGCAGAAGGAAAGGATGAACCAACAGCTTGAATCCACTCTCTGCTGCCTGACCTCCAACAACCCCACTGACTGGAGCCAGCACCTTACTTGGATTGAATACGCCCACAATTCACTCAAGTAAGCTTCCACCGGTCTATCTCCATTCCAGGTTAGTCTCTGTTATCAGCCTCCTCTTTTCCCTGCAGATGAGAGAGAGATTTCGGTCCGTTCAGTCAACCACCACATCCGTCGCTGTCAGAAGATCTGGAAAGACACCATCGCCACCCTCAACCGGTCATCTGTGTCCACGAAAAGCTTTGCGGACTCCAAGAGACGCCCAGCCCCCGAGTACGTCATTGGCCAAGAGGTATGGCTCTCCACACGAGACATCCCCCTCAAGGGAATGTCTCGAAAACTGTCTCCTCGATTCATTGGTCCCTACAAGGTTGCTCAGATAATAAACCCCTCTGCCGTACGTCTTCACCTTCCTCCGAGTCTCCGGATCCATCCCACGTTCCATGTCTCCCAGATAAAGCCGGTTGTTTCTAGCCCCCTGTGCCCTCCATACGACTCCCCTCCACCCGCCCTGGATATCGATGGACATCCTGCCTTCACCGTCCGCCGGATCGTGGACTCCCGTCGGCGAGGTCGCGGCTGGCAGTACCTCGTCGATTGGGAGGGCTACGGTCCGGAGGATCGCACATGGGTGCCTGGCTCTTATATCCTCGACCCCTCACTGATCGAGGAATATGAGAGCTCCCTCCCGTCAACGTCTTCTGGACCGCCAGAGGCGGTCGTTGAGAGGGGGGTGGTGTTGGGATCTGGAGCTGTACCACCTTCCTCCAGCAGAGTGCGCTGTGGGTCCTCCAGAACTGGAGTCTTCCAACACACCTGAGGCGCATCTCCTCATCAGAGACCAGCCTATATAACCTGCTTCCAGACCTTGCTTCGACGCCGCAGTGTTGACCTAGTTTGGTTAGCGACCTGAGCCTTGAACCAGAGAATGTTTGCTATCTCATTGATGAGATTTGATTCTAATTCTCCCTTGTTTTGTGCCTTACAGGAAACCAGTCTCTACCTGAGGTTCTGGATGAGCTTAACCTGCCGTGATTGCCCTCGTGAGCCAAACCTGAAGATTCCTCTGTGGATTCCCCTGCAGCTCTTGGCTAAGAGCTGGAAACTCAGACTAAGGTCTGCCCTCAAAGTCAGAAGCAAGACGCTGAAGCAACTCTTGACTCTGCTGAACTAACAGTCTCTGGACCCATCAAGTGCCCTCTCTCTCAAAGAGAAAACCGGACCACTTCAAGGTATTCATCAGAATATTCAAAGACTCATAACTCATCTGTTCGTTTGCTAATCAAACTATCATCTCTGCAGACTCCAGTGAACCAGCCCCTGACCAGTTCCCGTGCCAGTACATTATCCTTGTGTTTATTCTTTAATAAACTCTGTTAAACTTTTATCCCGCCTCCGTGTGTGTTCTGCATTTTGGGCTAGCTCTGATACCCATCATGACAGATATAAGGGAAATCCTTTTTAAAGTAATTAAGGAATGTCTGGAGAATGGTGAACTGACAGTAAGCATGAAGCAGGGGCTAATAACCTTAATTCCTTAGTCTGGAAAAGATCAAAGGTTGTTGGACCACTTGAGACCAATAACACTACTTAACGTTGATTATAAAATATTCTCAGGAGCCATCGCTGCTAGACTTAAAAAAGGCCTGTCTGCAGTTATTAGTGAATCACAATCAGGTTTTTGGAAGGGACGGTTCATTCACAATAATATTAGATTAGTATTAGACTTAATAGAGTATATAGATATGATACAAAAAAAGGGTTTTATTCTTTTTTTTAGATTTTTATAAAGCATTTGATTCCTTGAAACACACATTTTTGCTAAAAACTCTACATCATTTTGGATTTGGTGATAAATTTATTAAAGCAATTGCAATCTTATATAAAGGAATAAATAGTCAGTGTTGTGCCTGAACGCGTTCATTGAACGAAAGTTCATGAACTCGTTCATATTTTGGGCGAACGTGAACTGAACGTACTGCATTATTGCCTGATGAACGTTATTGTGAACTCGTTCATTCTGGTGTCTGTGAACGGCACGCTCTCTCAGTTCAGCTCCGTTCAATAGGTTGCCAGATTTCTATAAAGCCCTCCAGGCGAAACCCCGGCTAAATCACACCGTAAACAGGCCTTAATATGTAGCAGGAAAAACACCCAATCTGGCAACAGCAGCTACCAGCGTCGTAGCCTACAGCCGCGTGCGTCATCAAAACAAAATGCAGCGTGAAAGCCACAGGAGCATGGAGGCGACTTAAAACAGGTTTATGACCAGGTGGTCGGTGAGGATGATGGCAACAAGTTTGCCCGCCGGCTTTCAGTAAAAAAATCCGCACTTCAGTAACCTTAAATCCCTACCTCAGCCTGGTCCCTCAGTTTGTGTTAGTAAAATCTTCTTGAGCGGAGGTCTTCAACAGGGGATCCGTGACCCCTAGGGGGTCTACGGAGGTACTGCATGAGGGTCTGCATGGTTAGTTGATATTTTTATATTCCCCCCCTGCATTTTTTCCCCCCACTAATTGAAATGTCTTTAAATACTCATTAACATGAAATCAACACACTGTAGTAAACAGATAAATAGAGGCAGAAGATGTCTTTCAGTCATCAATGCTCACATTCAGCGACACACAGGAGCTCTTTCAAGCTGGGCACCGTTTCCTTCACAACACCTGTCCCATCAACCAGGAATCAGAATCAGAAAAACTTTAATAATCCCAGGGAGAAATTAATTTCTTTACATTACTCCATCTGTAATAGAGTGACTATAGGACACAATTTCATACAATATATATAAATAGGGGGTCCCCGCTCCATCTCGCCATCAGTTTGGGGGTCCTTGGTCTGGAAAAGAAGACCCCTGTTCTTGAGGGTTTTACTATCCATGTAACTTGTTTGTTAAACCTGCCTGGTATAATTTTCCAGGATTCCTTTTTAGTATGTATTGAAATGGAATTTCAATTGGAAAAAATTATAAAAAAAAAAAAAAAAACATTTGCACCTTAAAGACTACTTTCCTATTTTTCTTTTAATAATTACTCATAAAAAAGACCATTCAAGCAGCACATTTTTCCTGATGTTGTTGAGAAAATACTGTAGGGGTGAAAGCTGCAGCTGCTACTAGTGTGAAGTGAATGGACAGCAACAAAGCATTAAAGCAACAATGGGGAAATGCTGTCCCCTCAATGCTAATGTAAACCCTGGTTGGATAAGGATTCAAAACTGGATATGAAGATGAAATCTGACACACAGTTTCAGTGTTACAACTGATAAAATAATTGCTGTCTGTGGTTCTACAGTAGGCTATGGTGTAATTGAGCAATATATGAAAAAAAAATGAAAAAAAAAGAACTATGAACTAGTTCGTTTTTTGGAATTGTGAACTATGAACTGAACTAGTTCATTTTAAAATGTGTGAACTGAACTTTGAACTAGTTCACGTAGAAAGAGAACTTTCCCAACACTGTAAATAGTTCAGTTACTTATGGGAGAGGCACTTGTCGTAGGTTTGAGATTTAAAGAGGTATACGACAAGGATGTGGATGCTTCCCCTTATTGTTTATTCTGGTTGCAGAAATTCTTTCTATCCGTATTCAGAACAGTGATATCCAAGGTATTTCAGTGTTGAATAAACAAATTAAAATCAGTCAATTAGCTGACGATACCACTCTGTTTTTAAAAAATAATGGACAAATTCCATTAGCTCTAGATTTAATAAATCAGTTCTCTGTTTCAGGTTTAAACTTAAATTTAGATAAATGTGAAATATTGCCACTACACAACCCAACAATGCAATCCCTACATAATATTACCATTAAATCAGAGGTAAAATATTTAGGTATAGTTTTTAAATTTGATAATTTGAACTTTGTGAAGAAATTGGATGATTGCAAATCGATTTTAAACAGTTGGTTAAGGAGAGAAATTTGTTTATTTGGTAGAGTGTTATTGTCCAAAATGGAGGGTCTATCTAGAATAATTTACCCGGCCTCTTCTCTGCCGGTATCAAGGGAGTTAATCAAGAGAACTAATGATATTCTTCTGAAATTCATTTGGAGGAAAAGATGCCATTACATCAGAAAAGACGATGCTGTTAAATCATTGGTTGAAGGAGGACTAAATGATATTGATTTTGATGTAATGAACGGGGTCCTTAAATTAAAATGGCTGAAAGGTTTTCTCAAAAATAAAGATTCTTTTCGGTTTACCATCCCCAATTTTATTTGTGGAAAAATGGGAGGAATTGATTCCCTTTTACGGTGTGACTTTAGTTGTAATTCATTGCAAATCAAACTCTCCGCTTTTTATCAGCAAGTACTCTTGTATTGGAAATTGATTTACAAACATAACTTTACTCCACACAACATTCCTATTTGGAACAACAGCTATTATTTGGTCACATAGGCGGATCTACTGGGGTGGCATAGGGTGGCAAATGCCACCCTAAATGACAGCCTTGCCACCCCTGCTGCCACCCCAGTTGGCGGTAGGGGTGGCAGGGCTTATAAATTATGGATCATTTGAGAATTACGACCGCTAATTTCTAATGTCGGACTGCAGTGAATGCAGCACGAGATGACGCGAGAGCGACTGAGACTGATTGTTTTGAAAACC